CCAGAGAAAGGCCCATCCTGACGGCGTATCCCATATACACACGCTGCATATCTGCATGCATGTGCACGTATGTCTGTCTGTATGTATGTATGTATGTATTTATGTATGTAGCACACGTTCACTATGATTTTTCTTTCTCTCTCTCTCTCTGTCTCTATATATATATATATATATGTATGCATGTGCATACACTATGTGTTTGTGTTCACCCCACGTGTGTATATGTGTGTAGTGTAGTGTATGTATATATGCACATACAATTTCTGTGTATAGAAAATGTACACTTTTGTACATGTAAATAAAGACCGTATATATCTTTCTTCACGTACACGCAGACACACGTATAAATATTAATATATATATATATATGTGTGTGTGTGCATATGTGTATGTGCATGTGCATGTGCATGTGCATGTGCATGTGCATGTGTATGTGTATGCGTATGTATGTATATATACATATATATATATGTATATATAATGAATATCTGTTTAGTGAATACCAAGATGAACAATTACATACTTATACTTATATATACATGCACAGGCACGGACAAACGTATGTGTATGTATGCATATATATATATATGTATATACACATCTTTATATGTTTCTCTCTATGCAGCATATTTGCAGCATGTCAGCCAGAGCCAGAACCGGTACTTTGCAGCATTTACGGAGCGCAGTATTTGCAGCTTTTCCAGAGCTCCAATTGCCGTGTTTTGCAATGTTGGCAGCACGGCAGCTGTATTTTGAAACTTTGCCCGGTCCTCGGACACTCCAAATGCTGTTTTGCACACCGCTTCAACCGAACCGAAGCCAACCACAAACCCTGAAACAACAAGCTTACGCCAACAAGCAAAGGCATCCTAGTTTAACCATCAAGGTCTCGAGACAAGTCGAGTGGTTTAACACGAGTTTTTCAAGCAGCATACGCCTCCACAGGCATGCATCACCGCGTTGGGCAACAGAAGGGTCACCCAGACATGCAAGGACACACTGGAGCCTGCTTTGCCGAGTCGTACAGACTTGGGACCTTTGATAACAGCCAGGCCCAACATCACGATTAGTATGACCGCGGCTGCGACTACTGCTTTCCCGATGTGCCACATCATCTGCCCAAGGCTGTCCGGGTCCACAGCAGCAAAGCCTTCCTCCACCATGGTTCTGTTTAGCTCCATGTCGCCGGCGCGGGCAGCACGCACGTGCAGCTTGAGTGCAAGAGCTAAGGAACCCAGCACGTGGCGGGTGCTGTTCTGATGGTTCAACGTCAGCGCAGACTGTGACATACATTGGTACTGCACTTTGCTTGGATTACTCAGAGCACTTTGCAAAATCAAGCCTGCTGCTAACGCTGGCTCCCCTGGAATCCGTGCAGTCACCATGATCGTCTGAATCTGAGACCCTCTTGCATGGCAAGTCCTCTCTGGCATGGGCGAATTCGCAGGCCGCCCCGCGACGGCACTGCAGGACACGGTAGCGTCTCACGGGTTTTAGTCGGCGGGGTCTCTTCACAACCGTAGCCACCTGGTTAGTTCCTCAGTGACGTTGTGCTTCCGAACCTTGAACCCTGGATCCGTCCCTCGCCGCCCCACAAAGCTTCCGGAACATACCGGAATTGAACTTTCCGCCGCAGCCAGCTACCAGTGCAGTTCATCACAGCATACGACTTTCCATGGACGGACAAGAGCTGTAACATCAACACCATCCACCTGGGAGACGTCCGGGTAGGAGGCGCAAAAGCGAACCTTGCGCCGCGCCCCGATAGGCCTCAGGCTATCCTCTTCTCTGTGCTTGAAACCAGTAGATCTTCCCTCTTGTGTGCACTGTTGCAAGAACGTCGAGCCGAGTGCATCTTGTTCCGGCATCCGTAAACTGTTTCATCGCTCCCAAGTTGGAAGTGCTGGGGTGCCTCGGATGTCTGAGCGCCGAACTGCGTCCTGAGGTCATCACCAGCCTCAGAGGTGCTCAGCCATCGCGGTTGTGCTCTTGCGTGCCATGCCCTTTCACTGCTTTGGGTGTACTTCCAGGTCGGTTCTCGGAACGCCCCAGAAACAAACGAAAGAGTCACAACGACATGACATCGACCATGACCATGACACTGAACGAAGTCGACCACGGCCCCTTTTCCCCGACAAAACGGGCCAAGCTGCAGTAGCAACCATCACCACCAACCACCGCCACAACAAACATCTCTTGAAACACGATCTGGGGCCCCAACACCGGTGACTCCCCGACGGCCTGCTAGATAACTGCATGGCTAGCTTGGGCTTAGCGATTCCCGGACTTCGTCCCTTCAGCTCTTTGGACACAGTGCCAATTACCGCAGGCGACAGGGTTTTGCCCGAATGAATCCGGAGGAACGAAATAACTTGCTGGAACATTGCATTGGCAACAGCATGGAATCGCAGAACATGTTCTTGACATTCATGCCACCTTCGGTGCATGAGGAGTCCTACAGAGTCTCGTTCCGAGCAGCGCGGTGCCTCCATAGACCAGCAGCCAGTAGGAGTAGAGTTCCGGAGCCCAACCTCTCAGCTCCTGGGCTTCGGAACTCAGGTTCGCGGGAGTCCACCATGTACCCTCGTTTGCAACAGACAGGCCTGCAAAGTTGCATTCTGTTCTGTCCCTACAATCGATCCAGACCCACCTTCAACGTTTCGATGCTGCTGCAAAGATTTGTTTTGGGCTGTTGACCCTCGTAGATATTCATGGATTCGCAGGCTCTCCATCCATGCTACTGCTGCGCTGCTGCTGCTGCT